AACTTTTCCATGACAATGTACTTAACAAAGTATTCCTATTCCCTGTTCGTGTGTGTGCAGAGTTGCCATATTTCTCCCAAGTTGTTACATTAATTGTTTCTTGTTAGCGATTTTCTCGAGCACTAGCTTATTGAGGTCGTGAAATGTTCGTTCTTTCGTTATGTCCTTGTTCAGTTACTCTGTGATCACGCCATATCCATGCCCTCGTTTTTCGTGACATTCAGGCCAAATTTGTGTTGTTTTATAGCTAGAATTCATTGTTATTAGTAGTGATTCAGAGAATGGATAATAAACGTTGTAACAGAAAGGGAGACTCATGTTATTGGGTAAATGGGACCCAACGGTACCGTGACCCAGGTAATCACTTCACAGGTTACACTCTTGATGCAACCTATGTGTAATCTGAATAACAAAAACAATACCAACGGGTTTTAGCTAGCGTCCTGGGTAATTGCCAAGATATAGCGGGTTTCCTTGATTTTTAAGATCAAATGTGATTGTTGCTATTCCAGATGTTAGTAATGTAACGTCATCTATAATGCGTGCCACAATACAAATGACGACGGTCTACACAAATATGTTTTTCTGCAACAATATGATCAGGGTAGGGTCTGTTACGATAACGAGGAAGGGGGCACGGCTGTGGAGAGCCAAACCACAACAAACATTGTCGTTGATCTGAACGTCTAGGTTCCCTAGTCTAGGAAGAGAGGCGGAGGGGGTTGGGGTAAAGAGGCTTCAGGGCGAGTTAACAGTATTCGTTTTGCTCGGAGTTTTATCCCTCTTAGGCTTAGTCCGTGCTGTTCACTAAGGAAAGGCTACTTTTTCTTATCATTGGTATTATCTAACGCAAGAATACCTAAGATAAAAAAAAAACTTGGAAAATTGCTTGGAAATGTGCAGTTTGCAGGGCTCAGTATTGTGATTGGGAGATCGCAATCTTCCCCCCTCCTGAGTCACTGGAGCATACCACGTTTGTGTGCTATTAGTTGTAATTAAGTTATCGGCTATCATTTATCAGCTATTATCAAGTATTAAGTTTTTGGAGGTCTGCTTCACGTGTATTGTTTGATTTGCATTGACATAAGTACCTGGCCATTGGATACAAAGGGTACACGCGTTTCACTGAACCAAATAATCCGGCGCTAATAGCGCTCAGTGAACGGACGTTTCCCACTCAAGGGAACCCATAATATCGCTCTTGCATATATAGTGGACGGACGTTTCCCACTCAAGGGAACCCATAATATCGCTCTTGCAGACGGAATTTTTCCGTGTAGATGTCAGTGGCCCGGCTGTAATTTTTGTGAGCAACGGAGACTCACCTAAACATGGAGCGAGTTTACTGTAACACAAGTTCGACATACGTTACAAGTTCTAAGATGTGGGATCTACATAGCCGGGTTCGCTTACGCGGCAAGTTATCGTGTTCTATTGTCTTTCAATATTAGGTTGACTGAGGGGCTCAATCATTCCCATCGGAAAGCTAATTTCTGACTTGCGACGATAGTTTGCGCAGCAACATGTGAAGGTTTCCTGTGCCAAGTGAATATAGTGCCTCCACAGATGAAGCTGCCCTCTAGAGACCTGAAGAAGCCTTTTCAGTTTTTTCATGAGAGATGAATTGTCCTTTTTTCTTTTCACTTCCGTTACAGAGCGAAAAACGAGAGCAAGTTATTATAGATTTGGAAACATCCATTTCGAGGCATGTAAAAATGTCATGACGATGTTCCTTAGTCAGTCATTTTCTCCGTGCTTCCTCAAAGTCATGAAGGGGAGGGGAAGGGGGTAGAGTCATATTCGTTCGCTGAGATTACCTGAACCCTTTCTTCCATCTCTTTCAACTTCAGAGCGACTCAAGCTTATTATTACCTTTTATTTATTTGTTATAGTTACCATTTCAATTATTCCACCACTACTTGTAATCTATCCCCTTAATCCCATCCAACCATTTACACATTACACGCTGATAAAGAGACTAGATAGGTGGGTGCAAATCTGATGATCGAATTGTTGAATAATCTTTTAAACTTCTTCACTGGGGAACTGAATAAAATGCCTTTTTGTTTGAAACCGCAATTTAATTGTCGTTCTGCCGAATTCCCTACTGTATAAGTTTAGATCAATGTTTAGACGCATTGGAGCTGCAGGAAAGTATTTTGTAGACATTCATATTTCTTTCGGTCATTTACAAACAACACATCTGGCGCGTCGACGTGGTGAATCGGCGAGCGCACTCACAGAAATCTCGCCGTCGCAACAAGCGAAAGTGGGAAACGGTCATTCGTCGTGATTGTGTTAGTTCACTGAATCCTGCAAAAGGTAAGGGAATACAGTTGGCTCGTCTGAGCTAGGAGAGCAAAAGCGAGCCAGGTCATGTATTTTACCCCACTTTCACATACTATAGGGCGTCATTTTTATTCGTTTAATATTGAAATAAGGTTCTCTAAAGCTATGAACTCTGTGAGAGATACTGTACATTAATTCATAGAGGCTAGCGGCCACCACACTTTTGACAGCGCTACGTTCCGCACTGCTATTTGCAACTGTGAACTATGCTCTAGTATTTCCCCCCTGAAATGAAAACAAGGTTTCTGTTCGTACTGTAGAGAGGAAGTAAAATCAATATGCATCATAGTCGGTTAGGTTCGAATATTTATTATTAATAATAATAATGTCAGGGAAGCAACTGATGTCCAAACAGAACCAGACACACATGGGAATGCGGATTCCTTACCAAATCCTGGATTAATAACAAGTAATTTGAGCAGAAGAATGTGTTGCGCGGGCGCTCAACCTGTCACCACTGTCGAGCGTAATTGTTGGCTGACTGAAAACGGCTGGACAGGGAATGTGCCTAAGGTGATGCGACACAGCCGATGAGGTTCGAGTTCATCTTGAGCAAGAGCAGAGAGTCAAAGTGAGGGTCGCCTTCGAGCTCTCAACCGGAGCTATTTACCTGGGACTAACTAAGGTTTGAAGACTTCTAGGTACAAACATTGGCGATTAGGCAGCTTTGACGGTTTTTGCTTGGCGGTGTCGTTTTCGTAGACAACAGACTCCTTGCATGCATTGTGAGTATCCGGAGCCGCAGGCACACTGCCCGGCTGGCTGAGAGCACATGACGACGGCCGGCGGTTGCATGTAAGTCTGAGCTTGTGCCATGCAAGCAGGCTGGCATGACGGCTGACATTGAGGAGCGCACTGCATCACGGGAGCGGCCTGAAATAATTATTTGTGGTTGTGGTTATCGAGGACCGTTCAGTTTGTGTGAGTTTATGCTTGAGCGGTTTGAAGCAAACACCGAGAATCGTGCTCTCTGATAGCGTGTTTTTGTCGGTGATATTTGTTGTTCTATCGAGGATTTGAGGGCGTTGAGTCAACGATGATTCCAAAAATATCGCGGCTAATCTGAGGGTAATGTCGGTCTTCAAGTCTTCGTTCAAGTAAATAATGGAGGATGAGTCAAGCTATCGCTGGAGAGAAAAAAATGTGAGGATCGCACCGAAAAAGAGTTCAAAAACGAAAACCCAAGTGATTTTGACGTTCTTTCAACAGAACCGCTTGCAAGTAGTTCAATAGCCGCCGACAACAACTTCTCTAAGCTTCCGTACGGCTAATGGAAGTAGGGCTACTAAAGGAGCTAGATGGAAAGCCAGGGCTGTAAAATGTGGCGCCTCTCTTGTATGCAACTGGTGCAAGTAGGAAATGCGTTTATAATTATCTATTAGCGATTGTTGCTGGCGATTCTAATCGATAAAAGACAGGATGAAGGCCTTGGCTCCCTGAATCATAGTGGAGATGCGCCAGGTATCCTTCTCCCATTCAGAATTGCAGTGGCTTTGAATGCATTATGGCACATACATTGACTTGATGAGGCCAGCCAAAGTATAAGTTACCATTTTTATTCTCCCAGTCAGGCCTGGTGGCAGTTGACTTGCCGCGGAACGAGGGAAGGCTTAGCTGGCCTAGCAGGATTCGCACCTGAAATCCGACCGCACGACCGCGCGTGTGTGGTGTGGCGGCAAAATTGCCACTACACCATACCAAATATATCGCGCCACTTGAGATGGATGTTCACTGGCGAAATAAGAGCTAAACGTGTAGTCTACATTTTATATGAAAATCAGCGGCAACAGCGCAAAAACCTTCCTTGTTATCAGCGCAACTATACACTTCTGTAGGATTCCAAAGACAGGCTCGCTTTTAGCTCTCAAGGGTAAACTGGGCCAGTTGATGTCCTAAGGAGCATTTTCTACTCAACCACAGACCCATTATTCAACAGGCGTCCTAGGAGGGGTGGAAGGCTCACCAAGGGTGCGCAGAACCCGATCCATGGATCTGCCATTATGGCAGCGAGCCTGCTGTTGCCAAAATGTCCGGCAGTAATGTATCCGAGAGACTCTGAAATCGTTCTCCGCCTCCGTAGATGTGGGGGCCCATCCACCTCAAATCGCAAAGTTTTGAGATTTGCGCTACGGTTCCCGTCCATAGAAGGCGCCGAAATGACATAAATGTCGACGGCGATTTGAAGTGAACGCGCTGTCGGTTGAGATGCTCGTGTGCTTGAATGTTTGTCTGCGCAGCTTCGACACGAGTTCAGCGCTCACTGATGCACGCCTTAATGAGTGAACGTCGACGGGTTCGTCGGCGAGCAAACAGCCAAACTCCGAGCCCTTGCGCGCCGCATCGTTACGCTCTTACCTCGCACACTCTCTCCAACTCGCGTTGCGCGTCTTCATCCCATTGTCTTCGGATCGCTTTTCATCGTGTCGCTTTTTGCATACGGCTAATATTACAAACCGGCTTCACGGTCAAACAATAGACTTTTCGGTGCATCCCTTCGATTGAGCGATTAATCGAGGAGAGTTCGAGAAGGCAGACGACACACAAGAGGCAGACGAGCGGAACAAAGGTGGCGCTGGCTTCTGTGGGATGCCTCGATGAGATAAGATTGCTGGAGAGCATCGCTGCAGAGTTTGCTTTTCGCCAGCAATTGAGCTGGAAATCTGGAAGTGATATGGGGCCTGGAAGAAAGGGCAATGGAAGCGAAGCTGTGCTCACTATTTAATGCTCACCAGTTCTTTGTCTAATGGATGGAAAGAAGTCCCGTTTTCAAGGGTGATATCATAGTGCCTCGATTTTTGCACACAAAAATGAAAGCAGGGCTGAAACTTTGAGTCTGGTGGTCTAGTGGCTAGCGTTCTTGCTTCATAGGGATGTGGTCAAGTGTTCGAATCCTTGACGGTCACAAACGCGGACCGATGGCGAAGGAAGATGGAAAATAATGCGTCGAAAACGCCAAAATTGAAGGCTTACTCATTATTTATAATTTGGGTGTGTTAAAACAATGAGATTGAAAGCGCGAAAAGGAGTAGGATGGGCTAGAGAGCGCAATGGATGAGAGAGTACAGATGGCCCATTGGGAAAATGGAAGCGGTTGAAGCGGCCCTACGGAAGCCCTAGTGCTATTGTCGCGCACATTCAAGCCGGAATAACAAAACATTTGGGACCTTGGCGGCTGCGCCACCTTACAGGGAAGGGGTTGATAAGCCTGAACACAAGGAGGTCTGCCTTTAAGTGAACATTACTGTTAATTAAATATTATTGTTGTTAAAAAAATCTATTATCAAAATTTTCTTACCTGACAGGCCTGACCGCAGACTGGCTGAGCTTGAACGACCACGACCTGCTGGGTGCCGCAAGACTGCTCGCAACTGCTTTGACAGGTTTGTGAACATTGGGAGTTTCCACCGCAAGAGTTCTGACAACTTGGCAGACATGCCTGCACGCAGATCTGTTGCTGCTGAACACACTGTGGTTGGCAGGTTGGCTGGCAGGCTGGCATACACTGCTGCTGTTGAGGTTGCTGTTGGACGACGATCACTGGTTGAGCTTGCTGGGTGCAGGATGACTGGCAGCTTGGCATGCACGACTGCACGCACTGCTGGTTACCACCGCAGGAGCTTTGGCAGGATGGCTGACACGCGGAGACGCAGATCTGCTGCTGCTGGACGCACTGAGGTGTGCAGGATGGTTGGCATGGTGCAGGGCAGTTGTTTTGAGACTGCTGTACAACCACCACAGGAGTCGACTGTTGAACGCAAGATGATTCACAGCTCGGGAGACAAGCCTGTACGCATTGGCTGTTTGAGCTGCATGAGCTCTGGCAGCTGGGTTCGCAAGCAGCAGCGCAGATCTGCTGCTGCTGTACGCACTGTGGTTGGCAGGATGGCTGGCAGACTGGGCGCACTGCTGTTGTTGCGGTTGCTGAACGACAATGATTTGCTGCTGTTGCTGTTCCACACACTGAGGGGCACACATCGGCTGGCAGGCAGGAGCACAGGCCTGCTGGACACATTGGGGCTGGCACGACGGCATACAAGACGGAGCGCATTGTTGCTGCTGAGGCTGCTGAACCACGATGATCTGTTGCTGCTGTTGTTCGACGCACTGCGGCTGACAGGCCGGCATGCAGGCAGGAGCGCATTGTTGCTGGGGCTGCTGCTGGACCACGATGATTTGTTTGAGGGTTGCTGGTTGACAGTACCACCGCACGATGCCCGGACACATTGCGGCTGACAGGCAGGCATGCATGGCGGGGCACACTGCTGTTGGGGCTGTTGTTGGACGACGATGATCTGCTGCTGTTGCTGCTCCACACATTGGGGCGCACACATTGGCTGACAAGCTGGTGCACAAGCCTGCTGAAGGCATTGAGGTTGGCAGGACGGCATACAAGCGGGAGCGCACTGCTGTTGAGGTTGTTGCTGAACGACGATGATCTGCTGGGGTTGTGCTGCTGTTGAGTGCACTGGGGCGCACACATTGGCTGACAAGCAGGTGTGCGCAGGCCTGCTGGATGCACTGCGGTTGGCAGGACGGCATGCAGCAGGCTGGAGCACATTGTTGCTGGGGCTGCTGCTGGACGACGATGAATTGTGGCTGTTGCTGCTGCATGCAGCTGGGCTGACAGGACGGCATACATGACGGAGCGCACATCTGCGGTGGTTGTTGGCATTGGTTGCAGGAAACCTGGAAGAGAAACCGTTTGAAGGTGTTTACCTTCTAAAAGAAGGCAGGTACCTGGTAGGTTAGTGGACCACATCCACAACTCGAGTACTGTTGCTGCAGTTGACCGCAGTTACAGCTTGGGTTCGGTGGCACCTGGCAACCGCATTGCGGCTGCAGCATGTTCGCACAGTCGCATTGTTGCACCTGAAATGTCGTGCCGCATTTTTTAAGTAGCGAGACAAATATTCTCTTCGAGCCATCTATCAGGCCCATCTTGCATACGGTGCCAACATATCGCCACCATAAACAGTAATTCGCAATTGGCAGGATGATGGATTTACGAGGGTTAGAAGCAAACAGAAGTGGTTTCACGCACGCGAGGATTTTCTTTTTCCGGCCAAATGTCAGAATTTCGGCAGGCGGGGCATTATTTGCAACCTCATTCGCCTTACCACCGCCCTCCCTTGTTGAATCAGCGTTTGCTTTCAACTCGCAGGTGTTCGATATTACACTATTCTGTATTACATTTCGGGCAACTTTAACCAAAATTATGATAGCAAACACATAGTGTGTTTTTTTTTCCGTTAGACTTACTTGGATAGGCTGCAGCTTACTTACTTTTCTCTACATAATTTTTTTTGCAGAAGTGGTGTGAGTTCACCCACGACTCCATGCTGGAGGCAGTAAGGTATTTGATTGTGACAAGACAAACGCTCATGTGGAAAAGGATAGGCCAAAAAACTCAAAGTGCAGCACAATTGAAGGAACGAATGAAGAACTTAAAAATCGGTAAGCCGATCAAATGCGTCTAGAAACTTGGCTGCGAATGGCCTAAGCTCCACGAACCAACCTATGCTATATTTTCCTGACGATTCCTGTTCAGAGAATGCACACATTTATAAGATAGATTGTTTTATTAAAAGCAAAATAAAGTGAAGGTACTGTTACCGAAAACAGGCCGGCTTCAAAAATTATCCGAGCTAGTTATTACCAGTGCAGAATTGGGTGCATTTGCAAGGACTTGTGAAAGTTTTTTTTTCGATTTTTTCCATTCAAAACGGAGAGCTCCTACACAATGAAATTTGCTTCCAAAATACATTTTGAGCAAGATCCAATACGTTATGGAATAGACATGGCTCGCCGCGTGGTTGCCGACGGCATTCACGGAGTTGATCTTTCTCGAAATAACCCCAACACGTCATCACAGCATTGAGCCACTCTTCTTTCACCTCGTCCGAACAAAAGTTCTCCCTCAGAGAACGTTGAGCGCTAATCGATGGATCCATGCTTGAGGTACGGCACATTCATTTTTGACGGACACATTTTCATTTTTTTTTATTTTTTTTGCCATTCTCAACATCGCACGAAAATTATAATAATATCCAGGTTTTGAGAAAACAATCTTGAAAATCTTCTTTGTTCAACTTTTTTTTGCTAAAGTTGCGGATCGAAGACATTTTCATTTTGTTTTGTTGGCAGCAACAGTTTGAATCTACTGGCGGCTAGCAAGGCCTCACATATTTTATGGTATCTGACTCGGAAACGTAAAAATCGTGGCCAGGAAAGGTTCTTCATAATAGTTAGTGGAGTTGGAGAAGCAAAATTTTTTTCTTTTTTTTGGGTTGGAGAAATCAACTCGAAACCATTGAACATGATTATTTTTCTTATGAGCTTCAGAGGAACTTGCATACCACTACTAACTTTTTGCACAAGCGAATTGATTATAAAGCCCGGGGTTTACTCCCGTCTCTAGAAACTGGAATGGGATACCTGTGGTAAGAAACGTGATAAGGCAGCTCTACGCAACAGGGGGAAGGCCATAGTACTATATTGATGGAAGGTAAGGTTTGCACATGTGTTTCAAGCAGCAGAGCATCAGCAATTTTTGTGGATCAAAAGTGGCCCACGATTCAGAAGAAGAATAGGAGCCGTAGTCGTGTTTTCTTTTTGGAAACAATGTATGGTGTACTGTGGAAGAGCGACACAGCTTGCACTTGTGGTTGTTGTGTTGAGGGCAGCCCAGCCTGGTTTTTGCGCGCTGGATAGCAGCATTGCCGCTTGGCCCTTGAAATGGTCTTCGTCGATGGTTCCTCCTGAACATGAAGCTAGGTTTTACAAAGAATGGCTACCAAAACCTGAAATAATCCGCAGAGCTGGATTGAAATTTGGGACCGCGTCAACCAGACATCGACTTCGACTGATTTTTCCTTTGAGGATATTCTGAGAAAAAAACAAAGGTGATCCAAAGCTGAGCTCCAGCGACGAATTCACTTCACGTTGACGCGTTTTTCACTACAGGACCACTTAAAGTTTGCATTGCTAGCCCCCGAGGAGATGCGGTTGTCTAATCTGTCGACTGGGATGTCAAACAGACCACCCCCCCCCCCCCCCCCCCCCCCCCCCCCCCCCCCCCCCCCCTGGACCACGCAGCGCAAGGAGCCCGTCAGTGGGAGCCGGACAACTCTGCTGACCACTATACGAACATCGTGGGAAAAGGACTGATAAGTTGGTCCCATTTGGGAAAAGAGGAGATAAGAGACTCACGCTCACATCCTCCTCAGTAGTTGTGTTGTCAGGAGAGGCAATGGCATGAATACTGAGACCGAGTGCAAGCAACAACAACAGATAAGGTCGAGCCGCGCTCATTGGGAGCTGGAGCAGGAACAGAGAGCAGGTGTCTGAAATACCGTTGATGTGTACGTATTCAGCAAAAGCGTTCCACAACAACGGCGTAACCGCATAAACAAACGATGGGTGGGGTTGGGAAGAGTGCACTCGAAGTTCGAACGCAAACACACATGCAACTGGCCCTCGGTCCAGCCGGAGTCCTCGAAATAGCCGGCACAATGAACGCGACGAACCTGATTCACGGATGATCGGTGAACAATCGGCGAAGACTGTGGTCAGAGAGCAACGGTATAAACGGACGCCCGTCCGGACGCTCCGCGCAATTGAAAAACACCGACGTAACGACAAAAAGAGGAGCACAGGGATCAACTATGGAGAAAAGTGTCCAATCGTCTTGCTCAAAGCGGGCTCACAAGACGTAATTGCACGGGGATGAGATATATCAAGAGATATCACATAATTAACATGATCTTCATCACATATTTAACATGACCATCTCCAGTTTTCGATATTTTTTGAATTTTTTCTGGGATTGGGCTCTAGAAATTTGTTCAAATTCTTTTGCTTGCCTTTTCTTGATTTGATCGAATCATACTGCGAAACACTCACTAGCGACTTTGTTTACCAGAACCCTTCAGATTTTTTGGTCTCTTTGGAAAGCTGGATTTTTTTGGAAAGTTCCATTTCAATAAAATGCAAGAAATTTCGTTGCAAATGGTCGAAAACTACCCAAGCCATGAAAGTCGTAAATTTTTCATTTATGAGGTTGTTGAACGACTTCAAATTACGGTAGTTTTGGAAGAGTACCAAAGCTGAGTGGATTGAAGCGTAATGCGCCTTGCAAAACCATTTTTTAAGTTTTCGTGGGGTGAGGCTCACGAAGATCGTGGCGCCAGCGCTGGATGCAATCTTTCAAGCTAATGTGGCCAAGCGTAGCGCTAAATTTATCCAGTGTGTACAGAGTACGGGAGCTAAGTCACCGAGGAGGACTTTCCTTTAAAAAATCACTGAGAAGGACCTCTTAAAAAACTAAGCTATATGGATGCAGTTCGAACAGGAACGAAGAGGAATCGTGAGAATTGAGCAGTGGTGGAGAACCACATAACATCATTCCTGACCCTGACTGTAACGCAAAACACTCGGAAAGCGGTATGTTCGATTCTTCGACCAATCTGCTAAGATTGCTGGGAAGCGAACATGAAGGCATTTCAACACAGAAGTGACTTGCGAAAATGCAGCTATAATTGGAAAAGAAATCCTTCCCAAGCAGATCGGCTGCAATTTTTGGCATCATGAAAAGCATCATTTACATGACGAAATTACTGATTGGTAATGGTAAATGCGTTCAGTAGTGAAAACAGTAGTGGATTAATTTGGCAATATCAAGCCCGCTCGGTCGCGGGAGGGGTGGGAACTCAGTTACGGGTCCGAGGAATGAAAGGAATGAACCTCATCTTCGGGAAGGCGTGGCCTAATCTGCGATGGCTAAAGCTGGCGCTTGTGTGCACGAGTTCGTTTTATAGTTGTCGAAAAGCTGCTAAGGGCGGAGGAGCTATACCAAAAATAGAACGCAAAAACCATGATTGGTTTTTTGCTGCGGTTCCGCCGATTTCAACACCCTTACCGTTCCATTTGCAAGAAGGAGGTTTGGAAAAAATTCGTTGTAGTTCATAGAGTTAAGAACAGTAACAAAAAGCATTACTTACAATAGGTTACCAGCTAATTGGTAATGTTCATCTGACGCATGAGTTAACTCACCGTCTCATTCGAGTCGGCACTAGCTCAATTGAAAGGTTCTAAAAAATGAAGACGCGCTTGTTCTGGACGAGATCACATCCAGGAATTGTGCAAATTAAAGCAGCCCCTATCGCTAAAACGCAAACTACACTCTTGACTGAAATATCTAGCGTTAATATTATTCTTTGTCCTAATCGGTATACAGCTTCTGCTTTTCTGGTGTTTCTGCTTGACGACATTTGCATGAGCAAACAGTTTACCGTGGTAAACTAATTTTCAAGCCTATACGAAAAGCATAATTTTGATTGGCTCAGTTAGACGCCTAACGTGGCTTTCTGAGCTCCTGGGGCGGTATTCAATCCTTCCCCCAGGGGGATATATCCCCCTACTCTGATTCAATCCTCTGGGGGGACAAAAAAGGGTTGCGTCATAGGACCTAGCATACCTCTGTGTTTCTACCTGCCAGACAGTTAGAGCAGCGCGACCCCTCAGGGGAAAGAGTGCTTCATCAGTGGAGGGTAGTAGCGCTGCTCTAACTGTCTGGCAGGTAGAAACACAGAGGTATGCTAGGTCCTATGACGCAACCCTTTTTTGTCCCCCCAGAGGATTGAATCAGAGGAGGGGGATATATCCCCCTGGGGGAAGGATTGAATACCGCCCTAGGTCAGGGTTTGTGCTAACGTGACGACTATACCATCGAGGCGAGCCCTGCTCATCAGAGTAGCAATAATGCTTGTCGAAAAATTTTTCTGTTGTAAAAAATGTCGCATGGTACGAGCAGATGGCTCCTAGGCTACTTGTACCTCTTCCAGTTGATGGATTCGTCCACTGCGAAGCCTCTAGGTAGCACATTGATATCTGAACCTAATGACTCACTGTGTTTGTCAGGTGTATACCTTTCATTATATGAAGCGCTAACTTGCGTGTAGGTTCTGTGTGTGTTTGTCTGTATGTAGGGTTGCCTTTCCGTCCGCAAAATGAGAAGGTGAGGAAACTCATTTTAATAAGTAAACCGATGACGAAATCGGGAAGCTCGGAGGACTTGTGCTGTTAAAGTTTTGCAACGACATGATTATGATAGTGATACATGCCATCTGTCTGTCATACTGTGTGGCACTCTGTCATTACATACAGTGCTCTTGG